CCCCCCCCCCCAACATGATGCAACGCCAATGTTGCACACCATATACTGTATTGACCTTGGAGGGGCTGAAGGGAAGGGATCGCACGTTCGAGGCTTTTTGCGGTGCCTTTTGCGTGCGCTTCCGAAGGTGTGATGGGGAAAAAATGGGGTGGGGAGGAGGGAAACAGCGTTCGTTATGCTTTGTACTGCGACCTGAAATATGTGAAAGAGTAATTGCCACGGTTATTGCGCTGTATCCTCTGTTTCTGATGCTGATTCCCTCCTCCCCTCTCCTGCTGCAGTAAGCATGCAGGCGTGCGAATAGGCAACTTGCAGGCACGCGTGCATGCGGTACAGTATTACCGGGACGGGGTGGTGGCGAATACTCACCTGGTAATTTTGTAGGATGCTATTTGGTTTCCATTTTCTGTCAGATGTCCTTCCCTGCGGATTTAGAATAGAATATACTTTTACATATAAACATACAGAAAAATTAACGTTGCCGAGGTTTCGCCTTTCTTTGCTGTTACTGTCCATTTTGACGCCCGCCCGTGGAAGGGTTTAGGCCGAGTCGTGTGGGACGAGCAGTTTGAGGAGGGTCGATTTACTCTATGGATTCAGCTGAATGTTTAGTATTTTATTGCCCTCATTTACTAAAAGAAGTAAAATAGTCATTTTACTTTAAATTTGATTTGAATGGTGTGTTTTTTCAAGGGCCCTTTATGTTGTGCAGACAGACGGCCCGGCCAGAGGCCCGGCAGCTATAACTACGCGGCCATCGCCTGCGCGACCCTCCCGGACAGTAGCGACGACGGTAGGAACGGGCGCCCTACACCCGCCTGCACAGCCTGCGCGCAGCCTTAGCGCAGCCTGTACAAAGCTGCACCAGCAGAGGCTACAAAATTGCATTTCTAAATTTTAGAACTACATTTCTTCTTATTGCAAGGCAGCCAGCTACATCTATTGGCTTGTCTTGTAAGACTAAAAAGAATTCCATTCTCCATTTTTGCGCATTTGCCATTTTAACGGTGTTTGCCAACTGCCTTTAAAAAAAAATCTAAACGCAATTTAGAATATGCTTTGTAACAAAATTTTCATGCATGCATTAGTCTCAAATTTTTCATGGGGAAATATGCTATCACGCACATCTGAACTCTAGAGACACTATCCCTTCATCTTGCATCATGAAAGTGGGCGGCTAGCGCGCATTAGACTAGAAATCTAGTGGAATGGTAGCTTTAAATGCGTCTGCACGGTGTGCCTTCACTTTATGGGGATACATTAGTTGGTAGGAATTCAGCTGTCGTTTATAATGTGGTTTTCGGGGTGTTGAAACAAAAAAAAACAAAAAAAACAAAACACGTATGTTATTTTAATGAACTACAGTAAAACAACTGTGTTTCTAAATTTTGTGCTGCTCAATGCAATAGGAAGTTTATATATAGGGAACATTACTCAAAGATAGCGTGTAAGCAGGTATTTTGCCACTTCGGATTATTTTACCACACTAGGAATTTTTTTTGTAAATTTAGCAGGAAAATCTGTCATTTTTATTTGGTAACATGTATAAAACATTTTTTGAGTGGTAAATTGATATAAAAAAAAACATGAGAATAGACAGATAAAATTGTGTTCAACAAAAGAGCAAATTTGCTAATTTCTAGAGCATATTTGTAACTGGACAGATTGTTCAGCAAAAATTCCTTAATAAGCTCTGTGAAAAACAAGAACACTCTGTTCGCGACTATTTCGCCCTATATTTACGACTACAGTATGTTGCTTTATTTCTTTGGCAGACAGGTGCCACCTATTTCGCGAGTTATTTCTCCATTGCTTCTACCTCCAGGAGGCCTGCTCCTATAAGTCGTTTGTACAAGGAATTCAACGCCTTGAAATTCAAAATCGGCACACCATTTCCTCTTCCGTGATGAAAACACATGAGCTTTGCGATTCCAAAGAGGCCTCGACCTCGACTTGTGGAACAATGTTGTTTCATCTCGCCTTTCTCCATGCCAGATAATCCCTCTCTTCCTCTCTTTCCTTCCTCGCCAGACTCTCTCTTCTCTTTTTCGCACCACGACCACGACTGGGTGCGCGGCAAACCGACGGGGCCCGTCTCCCATTTTCATAGATTTTTTTCTCCCCTCTCGCTCTGCGCTCTTTTTCGCTCGCTGTTTAGAGCCCCTCCCCTCCCCCGTCTCTCTAGTTTTCATGCTCGCAGTAGTTTTCCTGTGTACCTTGCGGTGCCGGTCTGTCCCACTGGCGGGCGCGTTCCGCTAGGGCGGCCCGAGGCTCGGCTCGTCTCGTCGGCCGACCAGACTGAATCGGCGAACGACCGCCGGAATATCGAACACGGCGGACAACCGGGACTGACGGTGCGCGGGTACGATCAGGTACGATGCGATGTTCGGGCGGGCGGGCTGCAGGGACACGCTGGGAGCTTCCCACCCCGACCCTCGACCTTTGGCCGCCCGCCCCACCCCTCCCCTCCCCGCTCCTCCCCGCCACGCCTGATACCCTTTCCCTCAGACAATAAGGGCGCAGTTTGTGAGCGCTGCGCGTAGCTCGGCGGCGGCCAGGCCACGCTCCACGCTCCTTCAGCTGCAGCTGCAGCTGCGGTACACCTATAAGGTACTATACACCCCGCCCGGGCTCTTGCTATGCGCGGTGCGGCGCCAGGGCAGATACGCCCCCTTTACGTAACGCTAAGAGGCACAAAGCACTGCAAAAGTGACGCAACGTGCAGCGGCTCTGTATGCGTCCAGACGGTCCGAACGCATTGGCGCGCGCGGGACTCCCCCCCCCCTCTCTCTCTCACTCCGCCACCGGCTGGAGCTTGAGGGAAGTCCACGCGCCGCCGCTGCTGGACCACCGCACCAGGGCCTGCTTGCGTTTAGTTACGTGGATCTTATCGAAACTTAAGACGGACGGATTGTATGCAACTGCCATCGGAGTGCGACTGTCCCCCCCCCCCCCAAATTCTGCCTCTATTGCATTCCTCTATGAAGTTTATAGCTGCAGCGCACTATCTGGTGGAGCTGACGAGCGGCAGGGATTGACAGCCCAGCCGCTAGCTTGAGGTAAAGGACCGCGCGCCGGCGGGCCGGGTGGGGGCAGCTAGCAAAGCGATCAGCTATCCGTGCGGCTGCCGGGCCTAGCCGGGCCTAGCCGGGCCCCACCCCCACCTCTGGTTGTGCCCGTGCCGGGGCCCCGCTCAGACCCAGGTCCGCCTCGATGCCTGACGTGGCTCGGATGCTCGCGCTGTGAACCAGGTCGGCGCACTCACTGCCAGGTCCAGGGGGACTCCAGTTCCAGCCCGCGCGCCCCCGGTGGGGCCCCGGGCTCTGCGGGCTCCCACCTCCACCGGCCCCGCCCGCCCCGGCTCGGCTCGGCCCTGCCCGCGCACCTGCGCTACCTGGCTCGGCTGCTCGGCTCGGACTCGCGGCTGATGCTGGCGCGGCGCAGCACGGCCGCAGCCGCTCCGGCTCCAGTCCAGCCAGTAGTACCCGCCGTGCGCCGTCCCGCACGCCGCCCCGCACGCGGCCGCCGCGCAGCGCCGCTCTCCGCCCGCCCAGCGCGCCTGTGAGCGCGCCCAGCGCCCTCAGCACCATGGGGCCGCGGCCGTGTGCCACCGTCAGGCGATAATGAGCGGACTCGTGACCAACAACAACAACGACGAGCAGCGGCACGGCGAGCACGGGCTGCGCGCCGCCAAGGGGGCCGCCGCCGCCATGGCCCTGGCCGGGGACGCCCCCGACGAGGAGATCGAGTACCCGTCCCTGGAGTACGAGGAGGACGTGTACTACTCGCACCGGCCGCACGCGACGCCCAGCTTCGACCTGGTCGAGGGCGAGGATGGCGAGGACGGCGGCGACCCGGAGGTGGGCATCCCGTCCAGCGTCGCCACGTCGTCCGCCCTGGCCGCGCGCCTGCTCGGCGATGAGGAGCTGGACGACGCGGACGTGGACCAGTGCCTCGCGCTCGCCGCCATGCACGGTCTCGACCTGGACGACCTGGACGTGACGGTGGACGTGGACATGGACGCCGACGTGGGCGTCGACACGGACGTCGGCGCCTACTCGGTGGAGACTGAGTTCGTGCGGCCGGCGCGGGGCCTCCTGGGGCTGATCAGCAAGAAGCGACGGCGCCCGCTGGTGAGGGTCACCTTCCAGGACCTCACCAAGCCCTACTTCTCCAAGATCAGCTCAGCCAGCAACTACCGCCGGTTCCTGCAGCTCGTCAGAGGTGGGGATGGGTGACAGACAGACTCGACCTCGCGGCCGCGGCCCGCGGTGTCCGGCGTGTCCGGCGGGCCGAGGCCTGCGGGCCAAACCTGGGGTTGTGTGGTCTCTGCACGAGATCTGAGGCACCAGCTGCCACCGTGAGCAGGCCGGCCCGCACGACCGTACCGGCCCGAGCGGAGCGGACCGTGGAAGTGAAAGTTGAGCACCTGAGAGGGAGAGAGAAAGAACGGCGAAGGGGAGGGGGGGGGGAGCTCAGACACTGTGTAGGGGTCTTGGGGGACGAGCGAAGCGTCTTCCCTTGTTCTTCCCCTTTAAATTGTGGGGCTGGTAAATTCCTGTCGTTTACAAGGAAATAACCTTTTCTTCCAACTATTTTTTGAATTTATTTTGCAGGACGATGTCGATGAATCTTTTACACCAAACGGCCCTTCAACGATGCCATTAATATCATCTAATTTGTGTGTATTTTTCTGTTTGCAGAAGAGCCGTCAACAGATATGTTGTCACCGGACTCCGGTGTGTCTGAGCTGCAGGGACTCACCCCAGAAGAAGCTGAGAAGCAGAAGGAGGAATGGCGCAACCAATTGGCTGAACTTGAAAATGAAATTCAAATAATGAGATCTGTTCTTGCTTCTAAAGTGAAGCAATCACAAGATCTCAAGCGCAAATTGGGCTTCTCAGTCTGGCGAGAACTTACTGACGATGTATCACAAGGATTACGAAACGTGAAGGAGTCCAATGTGTAAGTCCTTTTTCTTCTGATTAATTTCAATGCTTCTTTTCCATAAATTTTTATTATTACGTCATTCAGAAAAAAAGTTTTGTAAAGATCATTATCCTATATAGCCACTGCTCTTAAGTTTACTGAGCAATTATAACTTCAGATTTGTGTTTGATCACAACTAATATAGCTTGCACTTCATATTTTTCTTTGTTTGTTACTATGGCTTTCTCACTAAAACGTTGATGCTCTGATACATTAACATTTCTTTTCCAAACATGCAGTTCTATGCGAGGTTTGCTGGGTTCTGGGTAAGACATTGTGTCTCAGTCTTCATTTTTCAATAGTTTGTGCTATGGTTAAACAAGTATTTAACATTTGTTTTTCTTGGCTTATTTTTAATTTTACATAGAGCTATTTATTTTATTAGTAGTAGTAGTAGTAGTATATTTTTTGAGCCTATACTTTATTAGTACAATATTAAGCATGACACAATAACTTACGAAGTCCCCTGCAGACAAAATTGTAAATACTTACTTTCGTCAACCTTGTTTTTTATTTGAACCATGTCAATAATTCAGGTATCAGAGTGTAGAGGAGAAATTTGGCCAGATTAGCAAAGCCGTTGCAGAACAGCCAGTGTAAGTCTGTCTGTGTGATACTTTGGCTGGGGGAAAACTCATTATATTTGGTTCAAATTATTTATCATGTATTTCAGTTTTGTGGCATCATTCACTTTCTCTTAATTTACACAATTTTTCATTGGCGTCTATGTGGTTGGGGCATATGGCTTTGATGAAAATTAATTTTATTTTATTTGAACCTTTTACCTGAAACCTTACTCACGGGATCAAATAGGTTTTGTTCTTTTCATGGTCAGCTGGGTTATTTAAGTATATTGCATGAAAAAAATGAAATCCTTATGAGCACTGTAGTTGGAATTTTTTTTGTTGGAAACCACAAAGAGATTGCTTTGCTATTTTACAGTTAACTTTGTATAATTATGCTGTATCAGATCAGTACTTTGCATGCTGTGGTGTTTTATACATACAATGTATCTGTAATTGCATTGTCTAACTCTGCTTGCTCCGTTACAGCTATACTGTCCCTGTTAAAATAAGATCATCCACACCTACATAGCAAATCTCTGCATTAAAAGCCATGCATGCAAGCGAAAGCTTTGTTCTCTTGGGCTTGGTGTCTGTTTTTTATGGTTTTTGTTTTGTCAGTAGCAGTAAATGCTTAAACAGGTTTCTTTATGCCTTCTCATTTGTTTTCCTTTTTTTCTTCTTTTAGGTATCAAAAGACTGAATCCGTAGTGAAAGCTACCGCGGAGAAAACTACATCTATTCTTGGAGGTCTTGGATCGGGCATCACCATGAAGCTAGGTCAACTGAAGAATTCTGAGTCTTTCCGTTCTTTAGAAGAGAAAGTTGGATCAGCTTATGAAAATGTTAAGGCAAGTCTATTTGTTTGTTTTAAAATACCATAATACTAGTCATTTATAAAAGGTTCAATGGAACCTGTGTATAAGTCATCCTAATGTAAACTATTGAAAAACAATTGTCTCCGCTTTTACCCTTGTCACATATTTGAAGGGTGTTATGAACTCTCTTTTCAGAATGCCTTGATCCAATAGTAAAAATGCAGTTCTACAGATTAGGGTAGGGATTGGGTAAGACTTGATATTTAAAGCTGGGGTTCTTGTTTTTATAGAAGGTCCGCGTTGGGAAAAGTAAAGTCTCTTTAAACTGGTGGAAAAAACATTTGAGGTTGTAGTAATTCTTGTGAGCAAGACAACTGCTGGCTTTCTATTAAGAGCTCTCTGGAATTTACTGCTTGCATGTGTGGGTTGTAATTCATTGAAGACGGTGAAGCATGTAAAATTCTGAGATTTAAAAGAAATCAAGGTTTTCTTCTTAACACACCAGTAAAGCATGTAAAATTCTGAGATTAAAAAAATAAAATAAGGTCTATTCCTTCACACACCGAAAAATTAACGTCCTGCTGATAAAAATGTTATCCTGGGTTTTGGTGTGTGCAACTTAAAATGAAAGAATCTAATCCTTATGTTTATTAAAGATTGTGATTTGGTCACTAATAGGATTTGGTGTGTTCATTTTGGGATGTCCTAAATTTTTACTCCTCTTAAAGTTGTTTTTCTCCAAGATTGGGCTGCTTAACAAATATATGTGTTCTGCTGGGGTTATTAGCAATGTACATTACTCACTTCCAACTTTATTCCTTTCCTCTGTAAATAAAATTATTATTGTTCGCCTTGTCATAATGCCCCATAATGTATTGATTCTAATAGTATCATTTGTTTCATCTTTTCAGACCAAGGTTTCTACTTCCCGTTCAAGTTCGATGCAGAGCTTTGATGAAGCACTCCGTGAAACAGAGTACAAGAAAGGGAGCACAGCAACAACACCCACCATTCCTGAAGATCGACCTATATCATAATTGAAAGTCATGTGTACGTTTATAAAACCCTCACAATACTTCAGAAATGCAAATACTTCCCACAACTGTGTAAGTGTAACTTACAGATTCACACAGAAATCTGTCCATTGTCATAAGCTCATTCCTTTACTTTACTATTTTGCTTTATTCCTTTTGCCTTGTCCTTTGCATATTTTATCCTACTTGGTCCCATCATTTGCTTGTTAATAATCTTAATGGTGTGGTCATATAGGTAAGAGGAATGATGTAGCTTTGGGCCCAGGTATGTTTGCCAACTGTGTCAGCTAAACAAATCAATACCTGTATAACAAAAAAAAAGTAAAAGTACTCCGGATTTCATTGTAAGACGCTCATCCACTTCGGAAATTGTTTCCTCAATCTTGATGTGGATGAATCTGCACTGACACAAGCTTAGAACACAAGTACATTTGTGGTACTTAAAGCTTTTCTTTTTCTTTGTTTGTACAGATGTTTAAATATTCTCAGTTTTCACCCCAGTGTGACAAGCTGTAAAATTCATTGTAAGCAAATGATATTTTGTCACTTTCTATACAAAATAGGTGTATTTTGAGATGTTAGACCAGTAATAGCTGTATTTGCCTCTGATGATTTTATTTTATTTTAGTAGTGATAATATCTTCCCATGTGATTTGAAATCTATGTTAATTATTTTTAAACTATATGTCATTGGCTGATGTTTTATGGTTTTATTTTCATGATGGAAATTCTTCTCTCTCAATGATAATTGGAAGAAGTTGCTTGTCTCACCTAGCTATCTACTTGCTTATTTTTTTTTGTAAAAATAATTTACCTTGCCAAGTTTTATTTTCTTTATTTCAAACTTTGCACTCTTGTCAAGAGTGTGGTTGTAAATGAATTGGCGACTACAGTTTTCTCCCTGTCAACAATTAAACTAAGCAGTAGCAAAACTGTGTACTTATTGAAGTCATTGCTATACCACAGCTCCCACAATTTTTAATGTGTGTGACTTTCTCACAATTTATTAGGAGGCCCTAAAAGTAAGAGGTCTATTTCTGATCGTCAAAGATGGTGTCGTTTGTTTGTTTTCCCATCGGCCTTGCTCAACAGTCCAATTTTCCTGTTCTTCATCTGTAGCAGTTGTTGATTACAGAACTGGAAAGCTTTTCATCAGCATTTCCACTCTGATCTTTTTTCATCAAAGGGTGGGGTTGAGATGACACAGTGAACAAAATTTTATTCTTGTTTCACAATCGGTAGTCGACTGCTGTTTGAAGGTTCAGTTTCCCCAGGTCTGGAGACTACAAAGGTCATAATGTGTTCTCCGACTATCTGGTTAAGATGAAAATTGTCGTCAAGCTGTCCTAAAAGTGAAGAGTATCTTCCTAAGGGGTTTAAATTTGGATCCTGAAAACAGGCTACAGAAAAGAAATTATCTATTTTTGAAAACAAATTTGAGTTTTTAAAAA